GGAAGTGATGATGTCATGTGAAGATGACGTCACGCTGGCGTCACTATTTTGGTGACCTGCGGCGTCATGATTGCGCCATATGGTGGCGTCATACGGGATGATTTTTCGCATCAGTCGTGTTGACGCCGATGCAGATGACGCCGACCGTCACTTTGGAAGGTTTGATAAGTCATGTGGGGCGTTCGCCTTGAAATATTTCGCCTTTCCGACCCGCGTTTGTAGCGGACGTAAGCGTGGATTGCCGAGAAATATAAACTCTTGTTGGAAACAGGTGCTCGTCTTCCTGCTCGTTTCTTACGTCCCTGTGTCTTTTTCCCTCTGAAATTTCCAAATAACAAAGGCCGAACGTATATCAGTCCATTTGGGTCAGTATGCGATGACGAAATGTGACAGTGTACTCAGAATAGCAACCTCGAACCTTTAGCAAAGCCACGTGGAAAGACTTTCGTTTTCTGATGCATGCCACTCGAGCTGATTCATTTTCGCCTCGAGATCGACCTATGGGCGGTGAATCGTTCCGTTCTAACCCGCCCACCCCACACCACTCTTCCCAACTAACCGGCAGCGTCCACGTGTTCTTGAGCTCACGTCACGAAATGGGTCAAGGCACGAGATCGCCGTTCGGATTCGCGGTCCGCGCCCGTATTAGCGACGCTGCTTGCTCTCCTTGCGACTCCTTTTGTTCTGGTCGTCGTCTTTTGAAGGAGTGGGAGGGGGGCGTTCGTGCTCGATTGCCTCGTTGAACTTCCCGCCTCTCCGCCAACTCAGATCCTTTCTCTCCCTCACTTCGTTGTCTTTCCTCCTCGTGCTCTTCTTCCTCGCCAGCCTCGCTCCAGGTGACAGCTGCTCACGAGGACTTTGAGAAGCGAGTGTGCGACGTGATCGTGTGGTTGTCCCGGGTCTTTAGACCTGACCTTTTGTATTTATACGCCAGAGCCTATAGCTTTTTTTTTTCATACGTGGTTGCTATCCTTGCGCTACCCTCCTCTTTCTCCGTCATTCTTTTATCATTTCTATTTATTTTTATTTTCTAACGGCGAGCACAAGTGCTGGTCGTCCGTCTTTGCTTGACCTCGCCAATCCGTGACGTGTCGATCTGATCAACCACGATGCATCAATGCCATCTTTTTTGGGGGTGGGGGTGGGGGGGGGGGGTTGTTTTATCTCGTGCTTAGTTTCTTGAAACGAGATCACACTCTACCGTCTAATCGTTTTGTTTCAGAGACATTGTTCCCTTTGTTACCATGTGGTTAGTTTCCTATGTGCGCAACACCGAGTCATGCACGCACAAATAGTTCTTACTATTCTTGAGACCGCTCTCGTTATTCTTGACACACGAGCGTGTCTGCAGCCAAGCTCACGCAGTTGTTGCGAACGCACCTAACTGCGTGATGAAAAAGCCGAGGACATTTTGCCATACATCGCACAGATGCACGCGTTAAGCTACACCAAATATATGACAGCGCAAAGAACGCAAACACGGTTCGCTTACGTATAACGGTATACACGCAGAGGTAACACGAACTGTCCTCGTGGTGCACGAAGGAGTAGTGGCATAATAGCGCATGCGCAGACAACGCTTGCCGTACGCTAATCTCATGCTTGCTCGTTGTTGTGCGGGGCTCATTTCAAATATAGCGAGTGTGTGAGCACATGTTTGCGGCACAGTTCCGTGCACGCATGCTAAACAAACACGCGCGCATCCGCAATACAAATAGAAGATACCTTCTTCGTAAATCGCTGGTTGGCTTCTACGCGTGATCAATAATGCACTTTGGCAGCAGTGAAATATTGATTGATTGATATGTGGGGTTTAACGTCCCAAAACCACCATATGCTTATGAGAGACGCCGTAGTGGAGGGCTCCGGAAATTTCGACCACTTGGGGTTCTTCACCGTGCGCCCAAATATGAGCACACGGGCCTACGGCATTTCCTCCTCCATAGGAAATGCAGCCGTCGCAGCCGGGATCCGATCCCGCGACCTGCGGGTCAGCAGCCGAGAACTGGCAGCAGTGAAACAGAACGCGTACCTGTACAAGATGACGCACTCGCTTGCGCGAGCCATTCGCACAGGTGCCACGCACGCACAAACAAAATTAACTCGAAGTAAGTGCGCATACACAAAGCCAACAAATAGGCGCAAAAACAAACACACAAACACAAACTCACAAGCTGCTTGATTGATTACTCCGTGATGTTATAGGCTAGTGCGTACAGTGATACTCATACATGTACAGAGACGAGTTATTCGTAAAGAATCGCTAATTTGTCCTCGAAAGCCCGGACAGAGCTTATGTATTGCGCATCGCACAGGCTGTATTGCGCATCACACACACAAACACACACACACAACACACACACACACACACACACACACACACACACACACACACACACACACACACACACACACACACATGCACGCACATGCACGCACATGCACGCGCATGCACGCACACACGCACATGCACGCACACACGCACGCACATGCACGCACACACGCACACACACGCACGCACGCACATGCACGCACACACGCACACACGCACACACACACACGCACGCACGCACACTCACACGCACACACGCACGCACGCACGCACACGCACGCACACACACACACGCACATGCACGCACACACGCACGCACACGCACGCCCACACACGCACACACACACACGCACGCACACACACACACACACACACGCACACACACACACGCACGCACGCACACACACACACACACGCACGCACGCACGCACATGCATGCACACGCACGCACGCACGCACATGCACGCACACACGCACACACGCACACACACACACGCACGCACGCACGCACACTCACACGCACATGCACGCACACTCACACACACTCACACTCACACACACACACACACACGCACGCACGCACACTCACACACACGCACGCACGCACACACACACACACGCACGCACACACACACACACCGCACACGCACGCACGCACACGCACGCACACACGCACACACACACACACACGCACGCACACACACACACGCACGCACACGCACGCACGCACGCACACTCACATGCACATGCACGCACACACGCACACACACACGCACACACACACACACGCACGCACACTCACACGCACATGCACGCACACACGCACACACACACGCACAGAGAGAGAGAGAGGAATATGAACATGTACGCGCCCATTCGCATTGAATATCGCAGATATTGAGACCCGACCATGTGACGACCTGGACGTCGCGCGGCCATACGCAGCACGATCCCACGAACAGACTCATAGATTCAGCACAGACACGCAAGAGTCGGACACACTCGCATAATGGCACGCTTAAACGTGCGCACGCATACAACACGAGAACTTATACGCACACCACGCAGTGAGCGGATTGGAAGATAATTACAGGTCGCGTCGAGGGCGCAGGGCAGTTCGCGTGTCGCTTCGGCGCGCAAACCACCGCGTCAGAGTCGGCGTTAGCTTCCAGCCGGCGCGTCTAAATATATAAACGCTCGCATTGTGTACTATATACGGTACCCATACTGGTCGAACGCGTGCTGGCTGGACGTGAATATTACGCGTCTGCATTCAAACACGCTCTGTTTGTGCGCCGAGGGCCTTTGGCGAACGTTATACCACCGTGCAGCCTGCTATAGCGGGTTGTTTTCCAACATTGGCGCGGGATCGTTTGTCTCCCATACACAAGCTGTGATAAGTCGCCCGTACGGTGTGACCTTACCCGATGTGCCACATTCGAGATGAAATAAAGCCCGTTACGTACGTGCCCATGACTGTGCTCGCGCGGGGCGTATGCAAAACGACTATGTTTTGTCCTTTCAGTATCTCGCAGTGTCATCGTCGTTAGGCCTAGCTATCGCTTTGTGAGAGAAAGGATGTGGGAGGGAGGTGCACGGGATGGTACCAGGACAGATTCTGCGGTGTATTTCGATAATAAAATTCTGTCTTACGATCTGTGGTCCACCAGTGCGTAGCAGTATTGATCGAGCCACGACAATGATCCACGGAGAAAGTGTTCCTAACTTTTATAGAAATCCACTGCGGCAGTCAGTGGAAATCAGCGAGAAAGAAAAAAAGAATTAGCTTAGCAGGATGAAAAAAAAAATATGCACTTCGCATTCAGCTGATTGTGTCACTCTCCTGCCGTGACTTCAGAACTTTTAATATCGATTGCGAGCCTTGTATTACGTCTGGGTCCATAAGTACCTGTTTAGAAAGCGTGCTTGGTTTCACGAGAACTTATAATATTGAGCTGTAGAACGTGTAAATGTACGCCCGTGGCCTTGTAATATACCTCAAGCCAACCGAGATGTGTCATGGTAAGGTCAACGCGGCCCATGCTTCGATTTTTCTAACGTATATAGTGACCCGGGTCAACCTATAGAATGGTGGTGTGGTCACTTTTTGCGATCCAAGTACTTGCGTATTTATGATAACGCCATCGTATAAGGACCGTCAGGACTTGGGCGTATGAGAATAAGTAGCCACGCGCGTTTCCTTTTCTGTTGTTTTATGTAACCGGCCCATTACACGTCTAACCACTGCCTAGTACAGGCCGCGCCTGGATGTGCGGGGTTCGCCTCAGTGGCTACGGCGCTCGAATGCTGACCCAAGGGTCGTGGGGTCGTGCTGATCCAGGCCGTGGTGGTCGCATTTCAATGGGTTCTAAATGATGGAGGCCCGTGTTCTATACTATGCAAGGGCACTTTAAATAAAGCACGAGATGGTCAAAATTTTCGAAACACTCCACTATGGCGTCTCTCATAATCATATCGTGGTCTAGAGACTTGAAACCCCAGATATTAAAAAAAATGATGCCTGATCGAGAACTCTTCATATAATTTCATACTCTACTGATAGGACTGCGCGATCAACGTGAACATAAAACTTTTTTTTTTGGGGGGGGGGGGGGGGGGGGGGGCTAATGCGGCCACAAACGATAACACTTTTTTGCCACATGTGTAAATGCCGACGTGCCTGACCGCTGATGTGAGTGTAATTTTTTTTTGGCAACAAGTTCGCCCAATAAGAAGCATTGATGATTTGATTTGTGGGGTTTAACGTCCCAAAACCACCATACGATTATGAGAGACGCCGTCGTGGAAGGCTCCGGAAATTACGACCAACTGGGGTTCTTTAACGTGCACCTAAATCTTGGGTACACGGGCCTCAAACGTTTTCGCCTCCATTGAATATGCGGCCGCTACATCTGTGATTAGATCTAGCGGTCTTTCGGTCAGCAGGCCCACCGCGGGCCAGCGTGACCACCGTGGTCACTCTGGCCTGCGGTGGTCACTCTGGCCTCTTACACCGGCTTTACTATATGATTTCTGCACCGTCATGACTAAGTGTCAACGTATTTACCATTGTGTACAGAAATCTTGGTGAAAGTGTCGTGTTCAATGTGTACTTGTTCTTTTCGACGCAGGGCGGCGGCTGGGCCGACATGGAGGCGGCCGAGCGGAGGGCGGCGGGCTCCGAATTGCGGCCGCCCTCCTCAAGTTTCTCGGGCCCAGTGCACAGGGCAAGGGTAGGTCACACTCCAAACGTGAGCCTTGTATAAATAATCTCGTTTCGAAATATTAGTCATTGCACCGTGTTTTTCCTCTGACAGAGCTACTACCGTTGAAGTCTTAGCCGTTGCCCTATTAAGTTACCTTATTTCCTTAAGGCTTTCTGATCTGAGTAAATGATAAGAATGAGGCTTCGTACCCCGCGTGTTGTACTTTACGTTCTTGTGTGGTTCTTCGCTGAATACTGTAACCCACTGTTCTCTTTACAAACCTTTACTGTATTGCATTGTATTGTACTGTACTGTACTGTACTGTACTGTACCGTGCTGTACTGTACTGTACTGCACTGTACTGTGCTATTTTGTGCCGCTCTTTGCGGTGCTTTAATGCAGTGTATACTGTACTTTGCATTGTGGTACTGCAAAGTACTCTGCTTTTCTGTTTGTTTATCTATTGTGTACTAAACTGTGTTTTACTGTGCTGCGTGGTATTGTACTGGGGCTGTACAGTGCTTCATCATACCTTACCTTACCGTACTCAACTGCACTGTACTGTGCTATTCTGTACTAGTCTGTACTATACGTTGCGGCTGTTTTCCGCACTGTTCAACAACTAGCCAATCAATGTTACGTATTCGGTCGCGTTTTCTAGCCCTCTGTGCCCCTGGTATATTAGGCGCTTTGTTTTAGTACGGATCGCGGATGATACTGACAGGCGAAGTGGAAAGCGTTTATCAAGCAAAAAAAAAAAAACTTTGTGTAAGATAGTCTACAATAATTTGCGTAGTTATAGACAGCCCTAACGGCTGTTCAGAGTAGTCCCCAAGTCCATAATTAACGGCCAGACTATACCGCATTTTGTGGAGTAGAGTTTCGCTACAGCCCCTGACGAGCCTTCAGATGGCTGGGGCGGTATCCGTTGGCATCCCCGTAAACCTTCTCGATTTTACGTAGATAAGAATGCGTAGACGAAAGACTGCTTTTCGATAAGTATACTGTCGAGGCCTCTTGGAGCATTCGCTGAGTTTATCTTTTCTCGCACTGCATAATTATCAGCCAGGTCAGTGTCAAGATTTATACCTGTACCGTTGTAGTTCCCTTAAACTTGGAAGTTACACGTGACGCCACATTTCCAGCAGAACTACTGGCGTGTAACACCACGATTCATAGTAGCGTCAGTGTTTCTTGTGCCACTAAGACCCCATCACAAACGCTTGTAGATTCGATTGATGTGTGGGGTTCAACGTCCCAAAACCACCATACGATTATGAGAGACGCCGTATAGTGGAGGGCTCCGGAAATTTCGACCGCCTGGGGTTCTTTCACGTGCACCCAAATCTGAGCACACGGGCCTACATCATTTCCGCCTCCATCGGAAATGCAGCCGCCGCAGCCGGGATTCGAACCCGCGACCTGCGGGTCAGCAGCCGAGTACCTTAGCCACTAGACCGCCGCGGCGGGGGCAAACGCTTGTAGCCTGTCAAAAGATGTTTAATATATGTGTATCGAAATATGGCGTTCCACTGAAGTCGCGCCAACTCTGGGATGGAAAGTTGTGCGTCGCCTATGCGAGAAGCGTTCGGTGTCGTAAGGAAACCGTCGCTCGGAACAAATGTGGTTTGGCCGGGGCCGAGAGCTCCTCTGCTTAGCATTCACAACGCGATCGGCGCTATCACATGCGTGCTGCCGTCTGTTTACTTGTTGTTTATTTCTCGTTTGTTACTAGGACAGTGACGACTGGTCAAATATACGCCCGAACCGGAGGGAAAGACGAGGGGAACGAGTTGGTGCGAGACCTTTTTTTACAAACACTGGCAGCCGCAACCGAAACTCTCTGCAGACGGATGGGTATACAGCTTTTGCTCGATGCACGCGCTTTTACCGACGCAAGCGATAAAAATCAGCGGTGGAAAACTCGACTAACGAAGTATCCGAGCTCACAAAGCTTTCTAACATCGCGATAGCTGTTTCAAGTCGTAGGAAGTGATATGCGTGATGTGTGTCCTACGCTGCTTGTCTACCGCCTTTTATGCACACGCAGCTTACAAAGAAGCCGGTAAAGTTATACACCCGTGTTCTAGAACGTCCTTCCACTCAACGCGTCACCTTCACTCGAGAAAGCCGATGGTAGCGCCGTCTCTAGGCACGGGAAGTCGCCGCATATCAGCCATGATCTGCTGCGATTCTTGAGTAGCGCAGCGTCATTTTGAGCCGAGCAGCAGCGCAGTGCTCAACTCAGTCAAGTGACGCGTGAAAGTCTAGTCGAGGAGCGTTTCTGAATACGGGGGACAGTCTACCGGCTTTATAGGTAGAGTTCGAAAACGCGCCGATGCACTCTGTGACGACGCGTCCGATTGCAGGCTTCTGACTACTGCATGAACTTAGTCCCACTATTTATGTGAGCTTCCCAACTTAAGAAACTGGAGCCTCCCGATGCTTGAAAACGGGGTTTATTCAAAATAAAACCCCAACCCGACTCTGCGGGTTGTTGCTCCAGTGCACAAATCGAAAGCAAAACAGATCGTCGTCGTCGTCGTCGTCTTCGATCTTTTTCCAACACCCAATCGCTTAATTTGGTCAGATTAATTGACCGACCTTTGAAGCAACAAAGCTGGGTGCGAACGTTTGGTGGGAAGTTTTAGGTTGGCTTGCAAAACGTTATTTTTGAAAGTTCTCACTTTCTATGTATTGAAAGTTAGTGTTTTTCGGCTTACTAGAGGTGTTCGAAACATTAAAAATTTATCACGTGACCTCCGCGCGCATGCGCGCCGTGAGATCTGTGCTCACGTTTTTAGTTACTTGCATTCGCCATGGTGATATCAATACAGTGTTTCCCATGATGCTATAGCGTTAAAACATTGCTGATGGCAGAGCACTGCGACAGCTGTCCCATGGCACTGTCCCAATAGGTTCACTCTTCTCATGTAGACTACGTGGCCTTACGTGCTCAATGTTCGGTGTGGCAATTAGGGCAGTCACCTAGGGATGTGCGAAATTGTTCCTGGGATAATCATAATATTCACTGGCAAAAATTGATTATCCGCCAAATTTTAGGGTCACTTTGCCGTGCAGTGCATGAGTATAGTGGAGAAGCACCACGGTTCGGCCCCCTGCCAGCCGTGTTTTCAATCCGCTGCAGTCTCGCCATTAGCAGCACATCCATCGGCACCAGCTGCACCACCAGCCGCAGGCTGGTTAAAGAAAAAAAAAAGCGCTCTTGTTTTAAGCTCTACTTGCCTTTATTTCGCTTTCTCCTTTTAAATCGAAGCTACACATCACTAAGAATTGGGAAAATATGGCAGCCCACAAGTGCGCATGCAGGAACTATGGTAAAAAAAAGTAATGATGACAAACAATACAAGGAAATGTCTCTGTTCTTGCGCTGGTTTCTCTTCAGGTATTGTCGGTATATGTAACTAGGGATCACACCCGCCGCGGCATGAATCGCCACCCATGAATTCATTTAGGTGTTCCTAATATGTTTTACGCTAGCGTCACCGAACGTAAAGTTTGAAACCGCGCATCTCCTAAATGTGATTATAAAGAAATCAAGAGCTGCAGCAGAAGACACTTCAATAGATCACTGCTCTCCCCGTGTGCTCAGATTCGGGCGCACGTTAAAGAATCCCAGGTGGTCGAAATTCCCGGAGCCTACCACTATGGCGTCTCTCATAATCATATGGTGGTTTTGGGACGTTAAACTCCACGTATCAATCAATCAGATTCCAGCTCTCGGTAAACACCAGGACCGCACGTTTCAGCATCACTGGTTAAACATCATTACGGAGCTAGCGCTTGGGCGGTGAAATATATATCTTTTACACTCTCGTAACATGATTACTTTCTTATTGCATCTGCTTGCTTTACGCTTGCCACCTTCATTTATGCATGTTCCATCTAATTTTTTTTTACTTCCTGCTCTTCTCGAGGCTATCGATGGGAAGGAAGTGTCTCCGGAATCATAAGCTTTGCACAACGTTACGTTCTTTTCGTAGAGCGAATACCGGGAGTGGTCTGTTATTGGCCGCCGCAGTGTGATGCTTGAGCTCCATACTATCGGGTGTGTGTGCACGTCTCAGGAGTGTATTTTGTTGTTTTTATGAATCCTTTCGCCCGGTCATATTTGATTTGCCCGCCTGACGCAAATGCTTCAGCCTCGCACCATCATAAAAATTAAGTTACGTTTTTATTTATGCTGAACCCAGATCACCGCCCCGTAATAGATGAGGCGCTGATCGCGTCCATCAATCATTCTATCCATGATGAAATGAGTTGGGCAAAGCGGAAACGAAAAAAAAAAGGGGGGGGGGGACATCGACGTAGTTAGGATTGGCTGTAACGTAAAGCAGCATGGTGTCTCATATACAGAAATCAACATTGCCGAGCCACGCTTTCTCTATAGCCATTGTTATAGTTATGTCGTATTTTTGATAAAATAGATAAACAAATAGAATTTTTAACAGTCATTGTTGCTAACGCAATTATTTGACGAGTATGTAACGAAGCCAAGTCAACTTGTCCCAAGGCTGGTTCTGGCGATGTTCCGTCATCAGCGTTTTTTTTTTTCTTCTCACATCTTCAGTCCTACTTATTTTCCTAAACTTTCGCACAGTTTGCAAACACAATGTCAAACTGTGGCAGTTTCATGGCCCTAAAGTACCACTTGACCGGCAGATAAACGATTAAACGGGATTACGGGTACATTGCATCAATAAGAAAACGATAAAAATATTGTCTACGTGGATGTAGTGAGACTGATGCATACACGCTTGTAGCGTTTTCATAGAGATGTGTTGTTTCGCTGGTCTAAAACAATCCCGAAAAGTAACAGCACTTAAAATGGGAAATTGCCGTCCACTCGTCTGCGACCGAACGCTGTTCAAGGAAACCCGTGTAAGAGGAAATACATGTGATGTAAAGCAAAACGAAACGAACTCGCAGAGCGTTATGCTGCGCACGCAGATAGGGGTGTAGTACAGGTGAGAAAGGGGCGGCCGCTGTGTCCCGGCGAACCAACC